TAAAAAACACCAGCATAGGGCAATGCCAACATTTTGTCATAAGGCAAGGGACCTGACACCTCCTGCCATCCATCCTATCCATACAGGAATACAAAGCACACATGGATAGCACAGAGAAATAACACAGACACTACAAACAGCATTAACAAAAATGGGCTGAATTTTCAGTCTTTTACAACACTTGTCAGTAACGCAGAGTGGTCAAAATCAACCACCATCACATCCTCGCACACTCTACACAACTAACCACAGGTAGTGTCCGTATTGGGCTACAATGTGCACTGTTAACCTCTAACAAGATTTTCCATGTTTCTGAAAAGCACAGTTTGTAATAATAAGGAGCTGTATGCATATATCAACAGCAACCTGCCTAAGGGGTCCATATCTCCACACAAACCGCGAGAAATCATTTCTGTGCCACAAATTTGAGAGCTTCATGTTTATACACTGTCTTACTCATGACTTTCAGCAAGCCTTGTTAGACTGCTGTAGCTGAGATTGAGCAACCTGTCAAGGTTCAGTGGTCACATGTAGTGTGTGAAGGCTAATGCTGGCTTTCTGAGATAGCCATGTTAAAAGTGAGTGAAAATAAGATCACTTTATTCCACATACCCCAACTTTCACTCCATGAGACACTCAGACACACAGACAGAGATAGAAGCTTGGGGTCAGAGCGCAGAATCAGACATTTATACGGCGCCCCTGGAGCAGTTGGGGTTAAGGGCCTTGCTCAGGGGCCAAACGGAGTAGGATTCCTCTGCTGGCCACGGGATACAAACTGGCAACCTTCCAGCCACAGGTGCAGATCCTTAGCCACAAAGCTACCGCACCACCCTGAAGTTACATTAAGTGACTGGGAAGAATTTGCTTTGAATAAAAGCATCTGTTAAATGACAAGTTTAGATGCAAATGCAAATGATCTTCTCAAAATAGAAACCCTTTGACTTGTAGGTTCCTAGGAGTCCAGAGAATCCCAAATAGTTATTTGTCCTTTGTTACTTGTGTAATTATCCTTAGCATACAGTTCTAGTGTCATTTGCATCTATTTTAATGTGCTGCTGTGGTGAGAAGAGAAGTGATTCAATTCAAAGTCTTCACATAGACTGTTGAGAAGATACATTTGCCAACCTTAATAATACACTTGCTTTTCTTTAGCCCTTCTAGCTCATAAACGCTTTACTGCTCTTTGTAGGCAGTGCATGAAATATACAATTATGAATTTTGAAAAAACTTTTCCCAAAATGTTCCAAAATGTTCCAAATTGTTAAATGATTTCTTATTCTAGATTTGTGCGGATGATTACCACATAATTATTACAGTATGTTTACAGTTTTTTAATATGCTAATATCATTTTAGTATAATTTAGTCAAATAAAATATGGAAAATTATTAAAAGATCTGACTGGGAGCTAATTTGTTCACTAAGCAACAACATGACGAATCAATGATTGAGCTTTTTGTCTTCCTGGGGCAAAAGAGAGCTAAAACATTAAGAACCACATTTCTACTATTTTAGCACCATCTCATGTTTTTATCATACAGTTCGATATGACAGAAAAAAGAATGAGTAAGTTAGATTAACCTTTTGCTCAATGATGTCTTCCAATGTGTGTCCATTGTGTAAGAGTAGGACTGTAACTGTGACAGTGCAGAAGAGCTAATATTATTTATAAAAGTCATATTCGTTGGAAAACAAAACTAATTCTAATCCAATTTCCAAAGCACAGGATCACAAACTAAAAAAAGCAAATTCTCTCAGAAATTCAAAGGGATCTATTCTAGAAGACAAGCTGGTAAAGGCAGAAGTCTTCTATGATTATTTTACACAAATGTTCATGAAGGAGTTGATAAATAACACTGAGACAGTTCCACTCAGTTCAGTAAATCAGAGGATGAGATTGTAATGGGATTAAGGAGAGCTTCAAACAGACAGATTTCTTGCACCTGATTGTATTTATCCACATATACTCACAAATAAAGTATGTTACTCATCACAGATTAGAATGTCAAATGACACTTAGGGCAGGGAATGTGACCACTAATTAGAAAATTGCAAATACAATCCTGATTCCTAAAATGGGGACAAAACAGAGCCAGAAATATTACAGTTGAATCAGATTTAGTTAAGATGTCAAAAGTTTTGAAAAAATTATAAGAATCAAATATAAAGCACATCAAATTAAATGGCATACTAGAAGGAATTCAGCACCAATTCAAGGAAATAACTTAATAACATGTAACAATATATTTGGACTTTTTCTAAAGTATCACATGAATGTCTAGTAAACAAGCTCTTATATAGGAGCATTCAAGACCTAAACAGGAAACCAAGGATTGTGGGTGTCTAGAATAAAATCCCTAGTCATGTACAGTAGTTGAATCTGCCTGTGGGATCATTTAAGAAAGGATGAGATGGAATTGATCATTATGCTAGTAAAAGATTAAGATCGGATTTATACCCTTTCTTAGTCTATGTTCTCATTTTTTCAGGTTTCCATTCATATATATTGTATATAAGACAGGACTGTTTGGTAGGGATCTGTTAAACCACACAGAGGACAGCTTGAAAGAGCTAGTGTGAGAAAGAGCATTATCATATTGAAGGATTAAGTGATTCAACAGTGCTGCTACTCTGACCATAGGAGTACAGCATGCATCCCAAAATGGTCAGCTTAACTCTTGAGCAGTGAGATTTCCATCTGCAGCAGAATTATGTTCAAAAGCAGACCACCTGTTCTGACTCATGCCTATAAAAGATCTTTATTTATATTTCTAAGGCTCTTGAAGAAAGTATATTTGTGAACCACTACACATTTTTGTAGGGCTTGCATTTTAGTACTTATCTTCAACTATATTCATTCCACAAGTCACACCACATTTCTGTTTTTACATGATGAGCCAAATGGTTGTTTGTTGTCACAGCTATGTATAAGTAGCACTCATAAATGGCTGTATTTCAGAGTGCAGAAGAGAACATTGGTTTCTCTATACTTGGTTTTCCAGGGGCCAAATAAACTAACTGGACTGAGCTGTGACTTCTTGCATACCTATACAGTATAGTATATGTCTCTGTTGATATGTACATTAAAATGCAGTCCTTCAGCCACATGATTTATGGGACCCAGCATTTCCATTATTGCTGCTCCTGATGTACTGTATACATTCTTTCATGATGCCTATTTGTATTAGCAGCAATATGTTAAAATAAAATAGGGCTGTATACTACCAAGACAATTTTTAGCACATTATGTTAAACCATGTTTGTGGCCAAAATATATTCCTTATCTTGTCTCCGGGATATGTCATGTACTGTACAGTGCCTTGCAAAAATATTCACCCCCTTCCGATGATTTGCAAATTATGTATGCATATTTTTATATTGAATATTTTTAATCAAGAACTTGGCATTGTGATGCAGTGGTTAGAATTTCTGATTTCTTCCTCATAGGACTGAGGTCCTGGGTTTAATTCCTGGGGTGGTTCTTGCTTAGAGTTTGTACTCTATGTTGTCCCCTTCATATGTTGGTTTCATCCTAGTATTCCACTTTCCTCCCACAGTCCAAAGGCATGGTTGTAGGTTAACTGGCTTCTGTAAAAACTTGGCAGTGGTGTGAGTGTGTGGGTGTTTGTGTCTGTGTGTGCCCTGTAATGGACGTGATGGCCCAGAACCGTTTCCTCACTTCCTGGGCCATTGTGACCCTGAATTTAATTGGATAGTGAAAGTCATGTGACTTTTAATCAAAATGTGACTGCTCAGACTGAAAACTTTAATGGGTAAAAGAAGATTCATGTCCACAAAAACTGAAAGGAAATATCACAAACCCAAGAATGGCCAAGAGAAAGTCAGAAAAGCATATTGCAATTTAGAATAAAATGTAGTTTTTCAGTGTTCTAGTTGTAAAAGAACAGCACAGGATGAAGTAAAGTATCTCTGAGGTAATCAAGGGAAAGTTCTAAATAATAAAGTGAAGTAGCCAATGGATTAAATTATTATTTTGCTCAGATGTTGACCACAGAATAAATTATCAACATGCCTTATGCTGTAAAAAGAGTAACAATTCTCATTTAAATACTATTAACACAGAAGAAACAGAAATGTTATTGGTACAAGAAGTACTTAAAGTCTTCAAAAGTTCAGGGCTTTGAATGTATTGTATTCTAACTGTTGTATTTAGGAAAAGGAGATGTTATTCATAGACTGCTACAGTAACTCCAGACAGGGCTATTTCCTATCAATTGGATGTATGCGTATTTAGCACACAGGCTGAATTTCACACAGGTTTCATGACGGCTTCTCTACAATACTTACTTTTTTGCATATTTGTTAAAACAACTAACATAATTTCAGATTTCCAAAAAAAAAAAAAAAAATGCCAGTTCCTGATTTATCTAGGCAGAAATAAATCCTTAAAAACCCAGAAGACAAATGGGACATTCAAAACAACTCTGAAAAAATAACTTAACGTTATTCATGCAACATGCATTAAGGAAGTCCTAGGTAACCCTAAATAGCAGAAATCAATTCCAAACTGCAAATATTTGTGTTTCATTCAAGGTGGCTTTGGTCAAGCATACTTCTAACACAGAGCATACAGTACATAATATTGTGTTTGAATGTGTACACATCATGCAGCAAGAGCAACATAATGAATTGTCAAGTGGGAGCTGTCACTTCATTTCTCAAAATTTAAAAGGAAAGATTAAATTCACATAGATGTAAAAAGAACACTTACTGTATGTATTACACACTTTGCACATAATAAATCAGGCCCCAATTTTTATTTGTGAAGTTAGAATCTGACTTTAAGATTCTATAGAGTAATATTAGGCCACTGCAGAGAGCACTGAATAAGGGACTGATGGGAGAAACTAAGAAGCATTACATTGTAAATGTAAACAGTAAACAGAAAAGTTTCAACATCTTATTATGAACAACAAAGGCCATAGTTTGTCTCTGTCCCATTGTCTCATTAAGTCTACATCTATAATATCTCTTCCAGGTCGTGATACTCACCTGGTGGCCTGTGTTTCGGGATTCCATCTACTACACCTTATCAGTGGTGGCTCTCATTCTGGTAAGTTTTGTGACGACTCTTACCATGGAAAAGGAATTAATATTTTTTGCAGTGCATTTCAAGCTGGAAGGGCCCTAATTTCAAAAGATGTATAGTTATTAAAACTGGAAAATAGAAGAAATGTATTTTTTGGAAAATGTTTTCTGGAAACAAAGATTGGGAGTCTTTAAAGGTTCCTCTACTGCAGAAAGTTCATAACTGTAGCAAACATATGACACTTTGTAATAAAGAAAATCAGCAAAGCAGCATTGAATGAAGGAAGCTATCAGGGTATAGTGTAATAGATTAATAAATCTTTGAGTTGGCATGGAGCCAGAGTATGTAAGTGCTTCAAAATCAATTATAAATTTTAAAGGGAGCTGATGCAAGAAGTTGTGTTCTGAACATTATGAAGCCGGATGATAGTACTCTTGAAACAGCCAGAAAGCATTGTGAATTAAAGTAATACAATGTGGAGAAAAAGGCATGAACCAGTTTCTCAGTATCTGACTGGTTGTAAATTGCTTGATTAAAGAACCCTGCACCACTTCTGACTTCACTTTCAAAAATAATACTAGGATAGAAAAACACTAAAATGAATCCCTTGTTTAGCTGTTCTTATCTCTAAACCAGCATTGATCAGGCTTAAGTGTTTTATGTAATGCAATTTGTGCAGGCGCACAAATAACATTCCCTCTGCCTTATTGCTGTTTAACTGTGAAAATGTTTGCAGTATTCATATTTGAATGTTGGATAGACACTCATTCTAAGAGTGGAGATTCCCAGATTTGTACAAGTCTTTAAGCAAATCTGAGTCTCATGAATGTAACAGTGGAAGAGCGCATTTAGATGATGATTAAGAAGGCCCAAAACTGAACCTTGTGGGACTCCAAAAGTAACCAAAGAGGTCTGAGGCTGTACATCCTGTTGCACAGTTTTTGATCAGAAGGATGGGAACCAAATGAACAAAGAGCAACTCTAGAGATACTAGCATAAGTCTGTAATTGATTTAAGAGATTTCTGTGGTTCACAGTGATATAGGTGTCACTAAGGTCCAACAAAGTCTAAGGGGATCATTAGTCACTTTCACCAGAGATGTTTCAATACTACAGTATATCAGCAATTTAAAGTTGAGGTAAGTGTTTGATGATCTTATTTCTTGTTTCATGATCTCGTAAGTTGAGATGTTTCATGCATGTTTGAACTTTTACCAGAAAGATTCAAAATAGGCCCATAATTAGGCAGCATTGCAAGGTGTCATTTCAGCATTTCAGGAACTATTACAGATGTTTGAGTGATGGTGGCACAATACCAGATCTCAGTGGTTCATTAAATACGATTGTAACTAATGGTCACAACAGAAAAATAGGAACAAGTTCAAGGCAAGCGGCTGCACAGAGCATTTTATTTACCTTAGTTAGTCAACGTGGATTAAGTCTTTCTATCAAGATTACAACATCCCAGTAATATCTGGTACTGAATTCAGACAGCTTAACCAGGTCAGTAGATGATTTCTGATACTGTCTTCTTTGATCTAAAAGAATACAAGAACACATTACTTTTTCAAGGTAAATACAGTAGAGTCCCGATTATCCGACCTTAATGGCACCGATAGTATGTCGGATAATTAAAAATGTTGGATAATGTGGAAACTGTATGAATAATATAAGTATAAATCTGGTTTATTAATCTACTGTAAATCAGAGCTTTCTCTTGAAGTATTGGACCTGTGTTAGTCATGGCCTTATCCCTTTGCAGCATGAACCACAAGAGCAAAGCTTCACTGACCTTTTCATATTCACATTTCTTCATAGTTTTTCTGTCCCTCATGACTTTCAATTGAGGCCCGATCAGAAGACTACTTTTCTATCTAATTTCTTTTTCTCTTTCAGTCACCAACTGTAGCTCATCCCACACCAAATTCAGATGCAATTTTCTGCATGGACTCACATTTGTCTAGTATTTTTAATGCTTCAAGCCTCTGTTCCATTGGAAGAACTACTTTCTTTCTCTTCGCACTTGTCATGTTTCTCAAATAATAAAATTATATACAGTATACAAGCGCAAACGAACAAGCAAACCTACGTCAATAGGTAGTATTTGATGCATTGAGAGACAAAGCAGCATAGGATAGACAAAATATTATGCATGTGCATGCATACAGTACAGTACATAGCATATATGTATATGGCATGTTGATTGCTATGTCAGATATAACGGAATGTCAGATAATCGAGACTGTACTGTAGTACCTTTCAAATTTGACTATAATATAGGATTGATGATAGAAGTTATCCTGGATTACAAAGACCAATAAGGTTTGAGGAAAACAATAATCATTCAGATGTTAGAGGTTATCCTGTTTTGGAGCTGCTTCCAGGTCAGTGGATGGACATGCTCTAACTTGAACTTGCACAATTTGCACAATTTTCTATAATGAGTGTCAGAAGAAATATATAACTTATAATTACAATAAACATCTAAAGTTATCAGGAAATTTTGTACCGTACATCTGCACTTACATTTTATTTAGTGGATCTTTTCATGTAAATTCATAATGCTGATTATCTTTTGCAATAAACGGGGGTTTACTGTGAATGTCAAAGCCTAGGAGTAGATGTGTCCATCGCTGAAAGCAGTACAAGCTGCACATCTGTGATACATGCTTTTCACCAGAGTACAGATGCTGTCTTGTGAAATTCTGTAGCAACTTCACACTCCTGCTAATACTGTTCTGCTTAGATCTCCCCATCCACTGGTTTGTTGTACATAACAATTAGCATATCATTCTGCATGTCTGGCATCCATCAGGATGGTCCACATAAAACCTTGATTCCTGGCTGACTAGGACCTGGCTCATTGTCTAGTGTTCAAAATACTGATTCCACAAAGGCACTGTTTTCTTGATAAGTAAGGTTAATGGGTACTTTTTCCTTTTTCTTGATTTTTAACTCAACACCTGGACCCAATCAGCTCTCTCATTAATGAGGTGATTTATTGCTTATGCAACGGTCACAATCACTTGAATGTGTCATTGTGAGTCATGAATGAAACAAAATAATGGAAAAAACATTACATTTAGAGAGGTAGGCTTCCACTGACTGAGCTCTTGACACAGAATCAAGAGTAGTCATTGTTTGAGTGGGGAATGATGGTGCTTTTCTCAAAATGCTTTAGATTTGAACTCTATCTTAACATCTCTAAAGCTGTACCTCTGTACTTATTATCAGAACTCTCCACAAATCAGTTAATAGGTTAGTAAGTTTACAACTCAGATCCCTCTTAATCTCAGTGATACCACAACCACATGCACACATTTAGAGAAATTGTAAGGAGGGAAATAGAGGCCAAATGGCAGCACATGTACTGTATCTGTAATGAGAGAGGCATGATCACTTCAATTTACAGGATGTGTTGGAGGTGTTTCGAGGTAAACCAGTCATCCAGCCAGATTAAGCCGTTAACACGCCTCATCCTTTTAGGGAATGTGTTCTGCCCCCTCTTCGGTCTAGGACGGGCTGGAAACCATTTCTCTCGGGCAGTGGTAGGAGATGTTACCTGTGGGGTGGCTTCAGTAAGTGTGTAAAATGCTGTCTAACTCTCAGGCCTTCTGAGAGCTCTCTGGATGGCGGACAGCAGCTTGTCCAGAAAGGAGTATCACTGCAGTAAGGACTGATATAGGTCTGTAAAGTGCATGTTAACAAAGTGTAACTCCTGCAGAATAAGAAAAAAATAATAACAACAAAATATTTTATTTCTGACCAATTTTCAAGAAACATGAAAACAGTTTACAGCTGGAATGTGTCATACAAAACAAACCTGACAAAATAAAACAACATATATTCAAAGAAAACTAAACTATAAATCCAGTTGTCACCAGTCTCAAACTGGTAGTGATCTCAAGTCAGCAGGGAGACATCAGTGATAAAGCACGTCTATGCTCCTTGAGTTGTCTCCCAGATTCCTAGCACTGTGGATGGAAAATGGCAAAAGACAAAACCTAACAAATACAATATTTAAAAAAAAATCTATGGTACAAAGAAACAATATAGAAGATGGACAATACTGTACTGTTAGTCTCTGTAGAGGGGCTGAAGACCTGTACAGGAAGATGATGTTTACTAAACTTCATCACTCAAAGACCTGTCTTTACTTAGTGAGGGGTAATGGATGTCACTGTGAAATATTCTGTGATTTATTAATGCTGTTTTCCCTCTGTATATTTAGATATACCTATATTTAGATACTGCTTTTACTACGGGGACTGTTAAGTCTTGATGACAGAGCTCTACCTTTGCGAGGAGTGAACGTCTTATTCAGTACATGCTGTTGATAAAAGCTGCAACAGAGGTCAAACGTGGATAGCTTTTGTTTCAGTAATTTCATAATAAAGAACATTTTTGGGAGGCAGGCTACATTTCATGTTAAGTGCCTTAATAATAATGTTGTGTTAGCATGTTGCTGAACCAAATACGTCCACTGACAAATTATGCTAAAATGATTTCAGTTTGGCATGTTGTTTCTTTAATTTTGAATCAGCCAAAACAGTAGGCCATGAAAAGATCCGATTCCTTGGGGATTTTCTTTAAATCTAATAACAGTAGACTGAGCTATATCTTACCACTTAAATGTCTTCTTAAACACTTACTGCTTTTGTTTTGTAATGCCTGAGGAATACACAAGACTATGAGAAAGCCCTTTTGCTGATTTTGTTAACTCTGGCATTCCATGCTCTGATGAGTGTAGATAACAGCAGTAAGCAAGTTTGTTCAGGTTTATTATATAATAAAGTGTCAGAGCCTGAAGAAGCCCAAACTGTCTCACAGTTTATGTGTGCTGTCTTTGAGCTTACTTTAACTGTTGGGAGACTCAGCTGAATGCTTTCTCTGTAGACCTGCGAGACTTCCCCCAACTTTTGGGGTAATCGCAACTATTCTAGCTTTCTTCCAGATCTCCTAAGAGAGCCCTTCTTGGGATATTTCTGTATTATTGTTCATTACCATCCTATATTCCCTGGGTGTCAGCACTGAAGAAGGCAGCAAACAGTGACACATAACAAAGAGGGCTGCCAGGCATGTTGGAGCTCTCTGTGACAGCAGCTGTGACAGCTTGCCATTCGACATACCACTGGTGAATTCAATCCACTGCCAGCTGCTGTAATAAAAAATAACTGAAATGACATAGCATCATTATGTAGATTGTGGTTAGGCAAAGATCATACAGTATGTTGAGCTGATTATAGAGTATGCTCCCTGTGGGGGAAAATTAGAAAAAATCAAGGTTGAAGAATAGGCTTGGATACTATTAAATCTACTTCCATTTAAAAAGTCTTCAAGAAAAATTTGTAGCAATGCAGAGGGAACATGTGTTGACTTCTGACGTTTTAGGATGCTGTTTGGGCAGGTATGGAAGTAATGCTATGAAAACACCCCTACTCGTGAAATGAGGAAAAGTGAAACATCAGATTCATAGGGTGCCTTTGTAGAATTCGTAGAATGAAACTCACAGCCCACCGAGGTGGTGCTTCTTTTCTTGGATTTTATTTGTTCATTGTATATTATGACACTTTATAAAATATAAAGTTTCTGGACTATTCATTAGTAGTTTTTTATATAAAAAGGAAAATCTTCAGGGTTTCTCCTTTATGCCCACATGAAGCTGCCACAATGAGCATGCCTCTCCACTCCTCCCTCAGCTGTTGTGTGCTCTTCTCTGTTATACTGTAAGTTAAAGTTATTTCCCAGATGTATTGGCCTTTCTGTGAAGCCATCCTGTCTGAATTGGTCACTTTTATTTTATCATCAATGTTAGTTTCTGTAATTTAAGTTGCTTGTGTCATTAAGTTAAAGATTATTTGTTCATTTCACAGCGCAATCCTGTTTCAAGCCCTAAATAAAAAATGTTCAGAAAGGGTAATTAATTAATGGCACACATCATTCTTTAAATATAAATTTGACTAAAACTGTATCACAATGACCACATTCACAGTGAAGCACCTTTGGCTACAGTTTACATACACAGTCAAAATTACTTAAGTGGCTAGAGGTACTGTTGTGTACATGCAGGTGAATGCTTACTATGCGTCTCATATTTAAAAAAAATCATTTTAACAATGTTACTGAGCTGTTGTTTTTTTAATTTTGCCTCATTCGAGAGAAATAAATGGGAAATAGAGATGTATCTTCATCACTTAAAGGAGTCTGTCATTTCAGAGTGTCCACTCAAATTCTAATGTTGGATTTCTGTTTCTTTTCTAGTTCATTTATGATGACAAAATAGTCTGGTAAGTCACTGTTTTTTTTATTTGATAACCAAGGCCCACCGTACAATCTTTTTTGAATGGTCCCCAAGCTGTTATTTTATTTTCTGCATTCTCAACAGCACTTGTTTGACATGATCTTTTTTTTTACCAGGTGGGAGAGCCTTATTCTCATCATCATGTATGCTGGCTACATCATGATCATGAAGTGAGTTGTTTTACTTTCCTCTAAATGTCAGTTTAAAGCTAGATGAGTACAGACCTTTGCAACCTGCTTTTCATATTGATGTCTCAAGGATGGACAGAAGAAGGTTGAGGTGTTTGGAAAAGAGCACGATAGATTGTAAACAAGACACTATTTCAGGCCATGGACTTAACCTTCAAGAGATTTAGCAGACACTTTTTGAACAGCCTGATAGAAGTCTTTGGCATGGGAAGGAGTTAAATTCCTGTTTTTTTATTATTTCTCATGCAGATTTAACACAAGTATGCAGAATTACTTCACAGGCAAAGTGGACAAGAATTTAGCCAATGGTAACACAATGAGCAGCGAACTGGAGGATGGTAATACTTGTTATGACATTAGGTGGGATGACCCATCAGTGCCATTGCTGAGGCAAGGTAAGGTTAATCAGACAGGCTGATTTTTGTTCGTCAGACAAATTCTCAATTAGCTGTTGGCACAGCTACAAGGGCTTTAAGGTTGTAGAGTGGAGGAGGATAGTGTTGTGGGAAATTGGCATTCCAGAAGCAAGGCTGTGTAAGTTTTCATGTTTGAGGAGGTACTGTACATGTGGTGAAATTTATCCAGCAGCATGAGCTTAGGAAATTGCACCACAGTTTCTGCTCTCAGCAGCGGGTCACCTAATTTATTATTAGACTATGATTAACAAAAAGTGAAGGCAAACACAATAATTATGCCAGGTGTTAGTTGTTTTATTTTTAGGATGATTCCCATTAGACTGCTTTATACTGCTGGATACATTTCATTTTCTATTGTTTGGTGTGATAACACAGGGTAAGGTAAATTGTTACTACTGTACCTTCAAACTGTTTTGGGTTTCTTAATATGCCACGAATAACTTGCTTTTGATAGAAAAATAGCTTGAATATCTTTCAAAACTTCCCTTAAAATTCCACATTTTTCAAAAGAAGTATAAAATTAGTTCCACTCTTTCTGGTACTCCTTTGAAGGACATTTAAATAAAACCAGTTCTTTCTCCTTAACGCTAGAAGGGAAAGGAGGACCATGAAGCAGAGGTGAGTTGTTCATTCCTGTACATAAAGAAGAATTGGCTAAATTCTGTTCTTATTAAAAATCTTACCAGTACAATATATTTAGTGTTTCTCTTTTGAGTACAAAGTATTTAAAGTTGAGGCATTTAACTGATAAACAATTTAAGTATGTACAGATCATTTTTAATAAGGCACTGTGTGATTTTCAGCGTACATCATGCTGTTTTGGAATTATTGGAAATTATAGAAGGAAAATGGTGGAAAGGCTTTGTCCTTTCTGCTGCCTGTTGCATTATGGGTTATTAATTAATGAAAATAACAAATGGGACCATAGGGCACAGTAGAGGCCACAGATTCTGATAACAGTGCTTGAGAGGAGACCCGTTAATCACAGTGAAACAAATTTCAAACTTTTTCTGTTTAAAATATGGGGACTCCTTAGTGATTCAGACAGTTAAGATGCTCTTTTGCATTGATCCTCAATGGCCCAGAAGTCTTCAGTTCAAGCCATATCCATTACCGTATGTTGTAAGGATTCTTCAAGGGCAGGTGGGCAGGTCAACTAGGGCTTTCAGTGTAACAGCTAGTCCAGCTATTCCAAGCAGGGAATTGCTTGGGTGCCGTGAGTCTTGGGGTGACACAAAGGAGAGACTCATAGCTCCTCTAGACTGTGTTAACTCTCATGCAAGACACTGTAGAGTTTGCAGGGTATTCAAAGATGAAGGTCCTTATTTGTTTCCACTGCAGAGAGTTGTAGTTGTTGTGCTGGTCCATTTATAAGACTTCTGCAATTCATCTAATTTTCTGTGTATTGAAGTAGACTTCAAACATAATGTACCATTTAATTAGAATATACTGTATACATTATTTATTCAAAAACATTCAGCTTCTCAGAGATGAGAATAAGATTATGAACATTCATAAGTGTATATCCCCTTTGTTATGCCAAACAAATTTCCTAATCTGGGCCTATTTCTTCTTTATGCTGTATTTCACCTTTCTATTCAGAGGGAAATACAGTGCATTTGCCTGCCTAAATAAGATCTGAACAATGCTATATGGTATGGAATAATTTTCACAGACAAATATTTATATTTGTTTACATTTTTTTACAAATGTCATATAATCAGTAATGTAATCTTGGTCACTGTTACACTGGGTATTTCTTATTTTGCATAAACATTCAAGGAAAATATTTTTGTTATTATTCATGTAGCTGAGGAGAATGGTAATCAAAGACTATAAAATAATGTGGAAGAGACAGTCAAGTTTAAGCCAGAAGGCTTACCTAAGGGAAGAACTTTGCAGCAAAAAAAACTGCTCACAATAATTTAGGGATATTATTCTCTCCACCTGTTTACCTAACTAACATTTGATTCCAGGAAGACACTTTGCCATACAATACATCTACAGGAGTATACTGTATATCAAAAGTAACAGAAACATTACCAAATAACAATGTTAACCATTACAAAAGACTAGATAAAGCAACTCTAGTCCAAGAAATACACAATGCACCGTGTACAGTATGAACACCAAAATCTGACCAAATTCTCACATTCTGTTCACAAGCCTGCACACACAATCTCGCTTCACTGTGCTTCATTGACAGGGACTTCTAGCTTGCCCGAGTCACAAACATTTTTGGGTTGGTGCCAAATGTCTCGCTATTTGATCCCAGATGGGCTCAATGGGAAAAAGAGACTTGCAAAGAAATTATAACCCGCCCCAGTTTTCACAGTTAGTTGTTTAAAAGCTTGCAGTCATAACACCTTAACGTAGCAATAACTATTTGTTACTGTATATACTGAACACATCCTACTTTGCACATTCAAAGCAAAAATCAAATAAATATATCATTAATATTAAAAAGAAAAATGGACAACTTATGAATGCAGAATTGTGTACAGTAAACACCTTGCTGTGGAAAATCTAAATGTATTTATGTGCACAAAATTATTTTGAAGAACCACACAGTTGTGTGGTCCATGTATGAATGGTTGAGATGGAAGAAAATGTGTATCAGTCAACAAAATCCTGATCTCTTCACAAAGCTGGCTTGTGTGGCACAATGGAAAACCCACTCTTTGTAAACGACTTAGTAACAAAGTACATGAGTGATCCTGCAAAAATGTGGCAAAAACTGGAACTTTTTGGTCTAAATGCCAAGCATTACATTTAATGCACATCCAATATGGCACATCAATGTTGCACATTTAATTTGGTGGCAGTAGCATCCTGTTGTGGGGATCCTTCTCTTTAGCAGACAGAAAAGCTTGATGGAAGTGAAGGAAAAATGGATTGATCAAAGTACAGAAAATACAAGAGGAAAACCTGTTTCAGTTTGCAAAAAACTTAAAGCTTGGGTGAAAATTCTCCTTTCGACAAGATATTTATCAAAGGTTAAAAGCTACACTGGAGTGGCTTAAAAATAAGAAAGTGAATGTGCTTAAGTGACCTAGTAAAAGTTCTCAATTGAATTTGAGGAAAACGCATGTCCTCAAAAGATTGATAAGCTTATGGACTTGAGTGAGCTTGAGTAAATCTATTAAGAAGGATATGCAAATATTACACCAAGGCAGTGTGTAAAGCTGATAGAGGCCACCTCAAAAAGAGTTTGTTTATCAAGGGTGCTTTCACCAATTAATAGTTATAAATATCTATGCAATCAACATATTCCAGTTTTCTGTTTTCTTTTTATCGACATTTAATGTAGCTTACAGTATCTTCTGAATAAAATGAATTTAAAAAGATGTATGCCTTCTACAAAATGGGACGACATAGGAGTGCTCTGAATACTTGTAATGTACATTTGAAGAACACATGGTGCAGCCACACTTAGGGACCCAGATACCCTGGAAACAATATTTCCTCAATATAATTCTGTTTCATCATCAATAAAGAGGGAAGCTTGATGGTGCTATCTGCAGAATGACTCATATACACTCCTGACAGGAGAAATTTAGATTAATTTGCTTTGTGATTTTGTGGTGTATGTGTTTCTTCCATAACCAGTTCTTGGTATTTCTTCCACAGTACCATTGACTCTGTACTGTGTAGGTTACTGAAGACTCCATGAAATTTGAAACTTTCAGTTCTCAAACTGAGAGTTCTACACAAAGACCTTGAACATTGTGGTAGAAATGGTCCTGCTGGAGTTTTAGCAACCTCAGCTGACCACTCTCCTGTGACATAAGTAAATGTAATAAAATATAGATTACTAAAACACTTGTCTGCACCAAGGAACATTATCCTACTCCTGCTCAAGTTAAAGTTAATGTACTGTATATGCTATGAGCTCTTAATATTTCACAAGCACCCTGTTTCGAGTAATGTAGTCCATTGTGATACCCCTAAATTATTGAGAGCAGTATGATTTTGCTACACTGTGGATAATCCAGTCTTTGCCACCACATTTTTTTTAATTTGCACAGACTTTCTGGATTTGTTTAGATTGTTGCAGAATGTTTTGTAAAACTTTACAGGTCATACTGTATGAGTGAACCTGGTTTAATTCAGGGTTGGAAAGTGTGTATAAAATGGTATACACATCACTGTACTGTATCTTAAGTGTTGACGTTACTTGTAATGTTTTTCTTTCTGTCTTTTTGTGTTGTACTCTCTGTATTTCTGCTGGTTGTGGCCCCTTTTCCATCTGGTTTTTATGCTTATTCTTTTCCTTGCTCCTTGTAGCTTTGCCACTCTTCAGAGGGGTAAAAATATAGAAATTGTGACTGTTTTCTTTTCTCTTATTTCACATAAAGACACCACCTCTGCCTCTGAACAATTCTCTCACTAACCTTTTACTGATGCCTGTCTGTTTAGCCTTACTAAAACTGGTGTTGCTTACATGTCCCAATCGTTGTGTGTATTGTTTTGTGATTTACCGTGCAATATCTTCTTCTTTCCTTCTACATAAACAGATGTGTAAGACCAGTTTTAAATGTTTTTAGATGATGTGCATGGATAATGAGTATTTAAAATGCATATTGGAAAATATAGATTTTTTCCTTTTGACTACAAAGTGTAGGTTTTTATCAGAAAGGTCTGGGAGCAGCATGAAATATTAGTCAATTTTCCACAACAGAAACAATGCAGCCTTGTGTAATAAACATTGATTTCTTTATGTCTTTTACTAAATTCTGAATGCTTTCAGCGAATTTAAATTGCAAAGTATTACTCTATCCTTATGAAAGCACTTCTTCCGTGCAGGGAAAATGGGACTTCATTTTAGGTTGCTCCTTTGACCCAGGTCCAGTGTACTGAATCTGATTAGTTTGTCGAAAAGAAAGGTTTCCAATCATTCATGGAATTTAAGCCCACACCAAATTTTAGCTGCAGGTTGCAATTCATATTTACAATATCAAAAATCATACTTACAATAAATGCATTTTGATGCTTGTTTGGGAATGTAATTCACTATCTGGCAGCGATTTTTCTAAACACTTGAATGATGCTTGTGTTTATTGACACCCATATACTCAGTGTTAATGGCATGCACACATTTTATATAAGGTTGTTTTACCTTTAATACATTTTAATATTTTGATATCAGTTAGCTTTAAAATTAAACTCAGAAAATCAGAAAATACTTTTTATTAAATTGGGGATTTTCTGGGCTTCCCTAAATGGGTGATAAATTTAAATCAAAGTATTAACAAAGCATCTCTCTATCTTAGTTATACATTTTGCTTTCTTAAATACTTTGCACAGAAATACTGTATATTGCAGTTACTGCATAATTTCCCAGAAAACCTCCAACTGTTGATTTTTTTATTCTGATAAAGGGATACAGTTTGTTTCAGCCTGCTATCCAAAAAATAGATGTTCAGCATAGACTCTACTGCACCATATCCTTTGGGGAGATGTGCAGGTTTCTAATTATTGGTCACTAGAGGGTGGAAATTGAATTTTACATGTTTTACAGAAGATGGGGGTTAGTTCAGACCAGAAAGTGCCTTTGATTGGTATTGTTGATTGTGGGTACGACTGTGCATTTGTGTACGACTGGGTAGAAGAATTTACATTCTTCATTAGGAAAATGCTTCAGGATTTTGCACAGCAGTGTAGCTTTACTGCAGTTCTGCATGTGCAGGTTCCAAGGAGCTGTTATACAAAATCAACCTGTGAGGATTGATATTGTGCCAGACTCTTATTTTCAACTCAGAATACATGCAGAAATAAAATGTTTATGGGTGTTTTGATGAATGAAAAGAACAGATTGCAGAATTTCTCAGGGATACACAGGAATGACCCAGCAGAGCTCCACCTTAAGCATAATGAAGTGTCGGAAGTGTGTCCTGTCACATATCTGGCTGAGCAGTTACAGTACTTCTGTGAGACTCCTAAAACTGGAAGGAGATGCCTGCTATTCCCCTTCAAATACAAATATTTAAGCATGGATAAGTTGTATTTGTAAAACATTTTCAATTTTAGAAATACATTTAGTCGTAGTAGCGGTAGATTAGCTTGTAATAACAATCCAAGTTAGGTCCTGTAGAATAAGTAGTTCAGATAAAGAAATTCAGTAGTTTTTTCCTTTCACAAGTCCTGTTTACTAATCACTTCCTGCACATTTCCCTCTTGATCTATACATTGCATTTTTCAGATGTTGAATAGCTGCAGACCGGATGTTCTTAATCTTATATATTTTAAGGATTAGTTGCCCTCTACTGAGAAGATCTAAAGTGAGTGGACATGTATTTTTAGGTTGTCTAAACTTAATGAAAATCAAAGTACAAATGTGCAGTTACATGAATGCGCAGCCAGTGTCTTTTGTACCAATATACCTGCAATAGATAAGACTGGCAAAACAACACAGCTGAAATTTCAAAGTATCCACTTTGTTTATAAAAAGAAACGTAAGCTAAGTGGGAGTTTACTAAAACAGAAATGCCACCTCAGTAACAGTTCCCAAACAAATGGACTTCATTAATGCTTTTGCAGAGCCCAGTGCACAGTTTATGTGACAAGGTGCATCTTTTTTATTAAGTGGTCTGTTATGAAAATGTAAAATAGTACTGTGGTCATACATATTATTTAAAATCAACAGATTTAGAGAGAAAGAGTCTGGGTCACTGCCCTCTCTGACTCCATGAAGTATTTATGTACATATTCCCCCATCACACTCCTTCTTTGTAACTTCTTGCATTAGTGTAAACAGTGTAAACTGCACATTCCCATTGGAATGGAGAGGATGGGTGCTCTGTAAAAAGCATGTATTGTTAGCATATTCAATACTTTATTGGAATTTAAAAATCCATATTTATAAAATTAATTTAAAATCAATGTGTTGATTTCTTTAAACCTTTCTGGTCTGGTCCAAAGATATTTTTGTACATCTGTTTAATTCCTACAGAAAAAACAAGTTCATGTCTTGTGAAAAAAAGCATCTTTACTTTTTTTTAGATACAGTATATCAGTTTTTCCCTAAAACTGAAACTACACACCCTGCTCTTAACCATTGATGCACATATTAAATAATTTTCATAATTGTCACTTAGTAAGGGAATGTTTATAATTAGACAGTAGATATTTGAGATTTTACTGTTTTTATTAGTTTCTGTGGGAAGCTAAGTGAATGGAGCTTTAGCTAGCTCATTCTAATTCAGGAAAGGAGAAAACATCATCCTCTTTGTTGTTTTCATAGGGTGAGATTTTAAATAAATTGATTAAAATTGTTTCCAGAACCAACTGAGCTAAATAGGCAAGTGTATTTCTGTTGTTCGTAACCATTCTTATGTTTTTGATACAAATTGCTTTAGGTTCCTCTTCCTTTGGGAGCCACACAACACTGCAAGCTCAGCTGGTCTACTGGAATTGTCAAAATGTTTAGCAGTAATTAATTTTTCACCTCCTTGCCATTCCCCTCGATACCCCAGCACTGAACAATTCAGGTCAGCACTTATGTCACCTGAACAGAGCATCCACAATTTCAGTTTTGATGGTAACAGCCTTTCACGTACACTAACTGGATCTGAAATATCAGGTTATACTTTGCGAAAGATACATGTAGACTTTTGAACAAGGTGTCAGAGATACTGTATGTTAAGAAAGCTTTCCTGTGAAACTCTGATGGTATCCCATAGTGTCATTATGTAGATCACATTTTCAGACTGTCTCTACTCACATGCTAAGCTGATTGGGCTATAGTTTAATTAGTTAATTATTTTTTAGGCACTGTGGTCCTGAGAGCTTGGCCATCTGCATTCCTCCTCTTCTTAAATACAAAAAATATGTTGTGAAGAGCCTCAGAGCTCCCTTTGAGAATTGTAGGGTACATGCCTTCAGCTGCTCCTGCGTTATTCATCTTATGTTTGTAGAAGGAGGATAGTTTCCTTTGTGTTAGAATAATTTAATTGTGATTAATTTTAATTCTGTACACCAGGCATGACGGGAGCATCTTCAAAAGTGAGGACTCCAGTGAAATACTGTAATATGTTAAGAAGTATTTGCATTTTTTTTATTTTATATAATCTCACTCTTAGAATTATACACTTACAGTATACACTTCATTACTTCTTTAATAATTCCTAACATTTTAGTGAGAAACAGCTGTTGATTAGGCACTGCAGTTTTAGAAATGTTTCCTCCTTCTTAAAGATTTTGAACAAGTTTTTATTTTTTAATCAGCATCGATATCGTCACATGGGAGCTATATTTTTCCCATTGGTGAACCACTCGTCATGGTTCGAGTGTGGGTGTCCGCTGTTGTCATGTGTGAGGTTTGTGCCTAAAAAGCTCATATTAGTGCAGACTGTTGAATCCGCCCTGCGTTCTCAACAGCTGGAACAAACACAGCCAAGTCCACAGATGGACAACTGGTGAAAAGCACTGCACAGCCTTTCAGGAGACAGCACAAAACACAATTCATTGAACTGGTCTCCTGTCTCCTGACCAGGAACATGAAAGTCAAAGTTTAAACCTAAACTTCTGCCTTTGGGAACACTTCTCTCTAGACAAAGAGACCAACCTCTCCACATTGGACACATAAGATAGAAGCCTGTCTGTTCTTCAGTCTAACAAGGCTAATTTGGTGTGAGTCTTTTGTGGTGACAAAACTCTCTGGAGTTGAAAGCCTTTGGAAATGTGTAAGGTCACATGGCAGGTCATTTGGTTTAGAAGATTTGCTCTCCTGTCTTGGTGCTGTGTGGCTTAGGGGGCTGGGAAAATCCTGGACAGGCTTCTATCTTATGAAAGGAACAATAGCCATACATTTTAAAGATCATTGTGTCCAATGTGGAGAGGTTGGTCTCTTTGTCTAGAGAGAAGTGTTCCCAAAGGCAGAAGTTTAGGTTTAAACTTTGACTTTCATGTTCCTGGTCAGGAGACAGGAGACCAGTTCAATGAATTGTGTTTTGTGCTGCCTCCTGAAAGGCTGTGCAGTGCTTTTCACCAGTTGTCCATCTGTGGACTTGGCTGTGTTTTGTTCCAGCTGTTGAGAACTCAGGGCAGATTCAACAGTCTGCACTAATATGAGCTTTTTAATAATAAATAGAGCATATTAAAAACCTTTCCGTGTCCATGCCAGTACAGTAATAATGATTAAAAAGTGTGATTTAGAAACAGCAGCTGTTCAGAGCTGCTCATTTCCATTTACTTTGAAACAATTATACAGGTTGACCTAAGGACTAAGCTGGAATTTTATTTATTTGAAGTCAAGCAAAGAACATAAAACAGACAAGAGGGGGCTGTTTGACCCCTATAGTTCACTTGGTTTCTAATTGCTGAAATAATCCAAGAATTTTGAAGGTAGCTTTTCTAAACCCCTACAACCCTTTGTGTACAGTAAATAAAGTGCCTCCTGTTCTCTATTTTAAATGTTCAATCCATTAATTTCCACATTTGTCCTCTGGTTTGTGTTTCATTGTTTATTTTCTAGTTTGAAAGACGTCTGAAGACTGATTTTAGTAGACTTTGTCAATGCCTTTGAGGACTTTGAATATTTGAATCAGGATCCTCTGACTTGATCTTCTCTGTTCAAAACTAAAAAGTGAATAGCATCCACACCACTGTTATAGAGGCCAAGACTCCTCACTATTTACTTTTACAATCGGTTAAAATTAAAGTTCATTTAATTATTAGATATTGTTGATAGTCAGTTGTAGGACAAGGTTTAGCAATGCAGGATGTTCAGAAATATTTAAGTATTATTCTTGAATTGAGAACCCCCCTCCTCTGTAGATAATGTACTCTTCATGCTCCTTACCAAATAGCCTGAACTGTCTGTGGTTATTTGAAGATGAAATTTGACTTGAAGACTAACTCTGCCTTTATGCTTGTCAGTGAAAATGAGCAAGACCTACAGCAAGAATTCAGTGGTCATGGTGGACGAAATCATGTCCTCCAGTCCCCCCAAGTTCAGGTTCCCCGAGGCAGGCCTGCGGATCATGATCACCAATCACTTCGGCCCCAAGACAAGGTTGCGGATGGCCAGCAGGCTAATCATCAATGAGGTGCATATTCCTTTGTGATTTTGGAGCTCTCTGTGTTCCATCCAATTCATTATTTGATTTTCATAACCAAAAAGACAAAAGAGAAAAATATCTACAGCTTGATTCTCATGAATTTATAGTACACCTGGGTCTTTCAGCTCCCTGAGCAATATCACCTGAAAAATATTCTGTTCTTCTTTTTTTTGCTTATATATATTGTAAATGAGTAAGAACAATGCCGCTTATAAAACTGTTTTACAACAGCTAGCAAACAGACAGTATAGGAGAAAGACGCTCAACAATCCAGAGTATTTAGACATGTCCAGTCCATATTGTTAGGTGCTAGCAGCAACTGAGAATTCATGAAAGAGTGAATTAAGAGAAAGTTAAGAATTTATCATTTGTATGTAATATATAATGTTAGTGAAAATCTATTGAGTGAATTTCCATTAGAGTCTCAATATTTAAACTTTAATGGCGGCGAAAAACAAACCTTTCAGGGGGAGACATGCAGGAGAATTTTCATAGCATATAGCTCAGGTGCAGACTTTATTTTACTTTATCCCTACCTAGAAGATCCATCAGATGGCAGTTCAGAGGTGCCTTTTGTAGTACATTGCCCTATATGAAACCCTTATTCCGCCCTTGCTACAACTGGGGTGTACATTTATCTTGTTGGAGGTGTGTTCCCTATACAGTACATCACTCATTGCATTTGCAATGAGGGATATGAGGTACTACAGTCCATTAAATTGTTCTCCCTAAATGGCCTTTCCAGACTTACACAGCAGACATGATGTTCTGTCGTGCTGCCATCTGTGTCTATTCAGTGTCATGTTCTGTAAGATAGAAGAGGATTCGTAGCTCCAGAATAATCCTCTGCACCAAGACGTCATTCTGCTAATGCCCCTAATATAGGTTTCAGCTAAAATATTAAGCCCAATATGACAATGAGAATGCCAACTGCTCATGTTATGCCTCTTTGACGTTGGCTTTCCCAGACCGCCAAATCCCTTAAAAAAATGTTTCTGTGGAATTGAAAACTGTTCTATGAATTTTCACCTTGTAAAGATAATTATATCAGGTTTTTTTCTGTTCTTTCTCTTGCTCTCTGTGAGCAGCGTCAAAGGTTGGTGCAGGCAGCCAATGGCGTGGACAGAGTTATTCTGGATGCCAAGCATGACAACATTGAGAACGGAAACGTTCCCGAGGACAAGCAGGGCGAGGAAGAAGAGTCCAATTTGTCATCTCCGTTTTCTGTTCCAAGTGAGAATCATTTGCTCTTCACTATTGGTCTTGCAAATCTGAGTCACATCCATGGTGAAATGATTTCATGAAGTATTATAGGTTTTCAGCCTTACATCTACTGTACAACACAGCTTCAGTAAAGTTTGAACTTTTTCTTTACTTTAGAATTTCAAGGTTCATCAATTATTTGTCGTAATATCCCAATGCATGTAATTCATCTATACTGCATGTGTGTTATGTGTCTGAATGTCACACCTCCTCTGGTCAAATACCTTGTGATTAAAATTAATTGGTTAATTCATCATTTAATTAATTAGCTAATTTACTACAAAATTATAACTACTGCAGCCTGATAAAGATAGTTTCACATATCACTCTCTTTCCTTAATGCCCTTTTTATTTAAAAATACCTTCTGAATATTTTCCAGCACTAATTTTGAGCTTCTCTTGTTGCAAGATACTCTTACAGTATATCTTATGAAAAGAACTAGAAAGAACTCGTAATAGGATGTGTAATAAAATGGTTATTTTGAAATAGATTTAAGTCCATATTTAATACTCTTGCTAACAAAACAATGCATATACAACATACTGATGTAAGCACATATACAGTTGCAAGGCAAGAAAAAGTGAACCCTTTGGAATTACCTGGATTTCTGCATTAATTACTCATATAAATGTGGTCTGATCTTTTAAATGATGTTTTTACATGATGTGTTCAGTACTGACAAGACGAAGTACAATTGTTTGTGTGTTATAAGTTTAAGCAGATTGTGTTTGTCTATTATTGTGACTTAGTTGAAGATCAGACTAAATTTTAATGAGTAATTAATGCATAAATCCAGGTAATTCCAAAGACTTCACAAACTTTTTCTTGCAACTGTATAATAAATAAATTGATGGCATCTCATTTTTTTAGAGGATGTGTTTTAGATTTTGATGTGTCTGAGGTGGAAATGCAGACCTTTGTTTTTACCAGTGCATTTTCCTTTCTTCCTGCAGATGGCTGTATGGACACAACAAAGTGGCTTATCTCCTGGCCAGTGCTGCTTCTCCTGTATTTCACTGTCCCCAACTGCTCTAAGCCCAGATGGGAGAAATTCTTCATGCTGTCTTTCAGTCTGTCTACTCTGTGGATTGCTATCTTCTCTTACATCATGGTGTGGATGGTGAGTCAATGAACAAACTAAGGAGGTTTGAGAGTTCCTTGCTTTTTAAATGGTACTATCAATAAAACATGGCTAATGAATGTGTAGTGTTTCCAGTTTGCCCCTTTTAATAATCAGTATTGACGCTGTAAATTGAGGTTTGCACATTTCAAAAGTAGTACTACTAAATACTCTACTGCAACAGACACATTTTTTCAGAAACCCTTCTGAACAGATACTGCAGGTATTTATTGGTGTAGGCATTATGAGTAATAACTATATACACCATGAGCAAAGCAAAGATCCCCAAAATGTGTTTGTTCTTGAACAAGGCATTTAAGTGTTTCTAAAGTTGTGTTCGACACAGTGTGCCTTCCTGCTTCTAATCTCTAACAGCTTGCCTGTCTGCACTCGCAGGTGACAATAATCGGTTACACTCTGGGAATCCCTGACGTCATCATGGGCATCACCTTCCTGGCTGCAGGAACGAGCGTGCCAGATTGCATTGCCAGTTTAATAGTGGCTCGACAAGGTGCTTACAAAGTTGTTATACATTTTTCTCCTTTTACATATGAGGAAAACTTTAACCATTAATAACTCATGCTTTCATGTTGTTGAAAGTTTTCTGTTACCATTTGCTTCTTTGCTGAACTAAAATCTCATTCCTGTCCTCTAGGCCTTGGCGATATGGCAGTTTCAAACACCATAGGGAGCAACGTTTTTGATATTCTTGTAGGCCTTGGAGTGCCGTGGGGAATCCAGACATTGGCTGTAAATTACGGATCAGAGGTAAAGAGGAAATCATTATTTTTTACTCCTTAAATGTTCTTACATTTTCCAATTTCAAATGAAACAACAGAAGCGTGAAACAATACAATTCTTATCACACTGAAGGATTTGCCTTTCGCATTTGTACCTGGGCTTGAGCAAAGGGTTCATTATGGGGCGGAGCGGTGGCTCTGTGGCTAAGGATCTGCGCCTGTGACTGGAAGGTTGCCGGTTCAAATCCTGCGGCCGGCAGAGGAATCCTACTCCGTTGGGCCCCTGAGCAAGGCCCTTAACCCTAACTGCTCCAGGGGCGCTGTACAATGGCAGACCCTGCACTCTGACCCCAAGCTTCTCTCCCTGTCTCTGTGTCTGTGTCTCCATGGAGAAAAACGGGGGTATGCGAAAAGACGCATTCCTAATGCAAGAAATTGTATAGGGCTAATAAAGAAACATTAACATTAACATTAACATATTATTTTTCTTTGTCTCCTTTCAGCAGGATTCTCTGAAGAATCCTAACATACAGTAGTAGTAGATTTCTTTTAGCTCAGCTCTACAAAAGCTCCTAGTAGGGAAAACATGTTATTGAAAGAGTCTTTAAATGTTCCAGTTTGTATGTGGAAGACACTTTGGTATCCAAGCAACACAAAACAAGTTTAGCGAAATCTATTAAAAGACAATCTGATGTATTTCAAATTTATCAAAGACAAATTAAACGTTTTTCTGAACCTGCCAATTTACATTGGCTATATTACACAGGAACTGAGAAATGAATGTGTGCTCACGGGTAGGCAAGAATAGCAATACTAATTTACAGTATATTAGAGCTCCTTGTCATAAATACCAAATTTGCCATTGCAAAATTAGACCACTAGATGGGACTGTAGGACTTTAATAATGACTATTAATAATCTATTGGTTAAAACTAGTGCAGGATGGATGTACGTTCCATATACTGTATGCTTTTATTTCTTGTTTTGTGTTTTGAATAATTGTGAATTAACTAAAAATTAACTATAACAGTAAATATTAGTCATATTTTACTGTATCTCTGAGCTGTGTACCAATGTGGTTTGCAGATGGCCACCATAACATTCAGCTCGAAATGCTGATCTAAAGTGGTGTGGTTTGCACAATAACTGCTCACACAGCTGCGCAGACAAGGCTGCAAGAAATAAATGCATGTGTTTTTTGTGTTTAGCTTTACATCAGCAATCATTTCTATCAAAAATTAAAACCAGCAGAAGGGCAGCACTAGGCAGAGACTTCAATTAAACAATGTGTAAACAGTGCGTGACAGTGCATAAACAATGTGTGTCACCTTGTTGTACTATGCAAGAGCTACATTTCCTGCCATCTGGTACTAATTACTGTATGTTGAGTCGAATGAATGAAAGTTGCAGCCACACCTGCTTCCTTAGTCAAGTACATTTGCATTTTGCTGTATCCTGTTGTCATGACACTGATCTGTTCATATGTTGACATGATATCATGTTCAGTGTAAAACAGAGGTAATCACTGCAGAAAACTGCAGAAATGTGCTGTGTGACATTTTTACAGGATATTTGAGATGTCTCTGACAAGGCCTGACAGACAGAATTTGTAAGCGAGCAAGTCCATCTTGGCTAAAATCATGAAGAAAGGTCAATACGACGCCTAGCGTCACATCTCCAGTGGTCAGCATTGTTTCACTCTAAGCCAGTCTGGTTGTTCTGAGTAGTGCTCTCTCACCAATGCTGCTGTTGAGGCAGGAGTAACCCAACTGTGAACGTACACATTTGTATTAATATTTTTAGCACATATGAAATGGACTTTTAAAGTTTTATTTCTGCTGTGTTTGTCCTGCTTCAATGTATAAATAATAGCAGTATTTTTTAACAGGTTAAAATCAATAGCAGAGGTCTGGTGTATTCAGTGGTGCTTCTTTTAGGATCTGTTGCTCTTACAGTAAGTAAATAAATTCTTGATCTTTATGGTTTTATTGTACCTAGCCTATAGGGCCGACAGCTAGAATATAAGGAAGCCTGCAAAAAAGACTACATTTAGACATTCTTACTTGTTTGTTGGCTAGTGGTTTAATAATCCAAGTATTTTTAAAAGGTTATTTTTAAAAGATCCAAAAAAATGCAGTTAGGAAGCCTGTTGTTCCCCAGTCGAATCTCCTACCGTGTCTTCAAATTTTCTAAACATAATTTCCACGCTTACACCTTTCATCTTGAGGTAGATGACCTTCTAGAGAACATTATCTTCTCTGTGTTACAAGATTGCAGTCAATGCACCTAGAATTTAAATGCTTAAGTAAAACTTGAAGAATACTAATTAATAGCAATATTCTTGATTGCTTTTCTTTAGACTCCTTTTCATTTCTTACAGATTGTTTAAACTGCCACTTAGAGCAACGGTTTTGCTCGTTTTGAGGGTCTTTTGTAGTTACACTGCTTTTTTTACATTGCCATTGTTTCCCCTTTGTCTCTATTTTTTTCTGTTTGTTCAGGAACTTTTCACTGAATTCCTTACAAATCTCCTTCGTAAGGAATTCATCTCCTTTGGTTAGTTACTTACAGATGCCCTGATTGTTAACCATAGACAAAGGACCTACTGGTCATAGTTTTCTCAGACACATTTTTTATGCTCTATTTTAAGTAAAGATGTACAGTAAGGCCAAAATTAACCTAATGTCCACTTTCCCTAAATATTAATCACTTTTGTCCTTCACAGGTATTGGGTATTCATTTCAACAAGTGGAAACTGGACTTGAAGCTGGGCATCTATGTACTCGTACTTTATGCCGTGTTCCTGTGTTTTTCCATCATGATAGAGTACAATGTCTTCACCTTTGTCAACCTACCAATGTGTCAAGAGGGCATCTAAACTGCCAAGACCAAGGAAGATGCTTCTTGTTTTACTTTTGACTTTATCTTTTTCTGAATTCCACCTTTTCCTACCTTTCATCCTTACTGGAATAAGGCTGGAATCCTTGCTGTTTTTATGGAATTGTAGTCTTCATGTCCATTAAAAAAATCAAACCACTAAATCATAAATATGCATATTCTTTTTTCATTTTGGGCAGCAGTTACAATTGTTTTCCTTTAATCTCTGTTCATCCTGTGGAGCCCCGAGAAGGATCTTCTTTTTCTATAAAACTACAGAAATGTCTTATAAAAATGTGAAAAGTGGCACAATCAAGTTCCATTTTTTGAGATCCGATTCTCTCTCTTGTACAACCACAAAACCACAATGCCATACATTCAACAGTTATTTTGTTTTGTGCAAGTCATCAGTCTCTGTCATCAAGTGGACTTATTAAGAGATGGCTGAAGTATAATTTTTCTTTGTCTCACTGGTATTTTTTATAACCTGGAAGCAAAAAAAACTTTTTAAACTGAGGAGCAGTGCATCAAGAAATAATATCACTGTAATTTTTGGAAGCACTAATCAGAAAATTTTGTGACCGTGGAATGCTAACATTTTGATGAACAAATGATTTGTTCATGTTTAACCTCAGAAGCACCAGCTCTGCAAAGGTCAAATGTTTCCTCTTGCAATCAGTTAGCTCTAGAGCTGATCCATTTGGAAAAGAGATTTGGAAGCTACAGTATCTTACGTTTATAAAAAAAATATCTAATCCTTTTCTTTTTCCTGGTTAGGCATTTCATTAGGTGCAAGGATATTGTGCATAGAAAAAAAATGGCTACCTTTTTAAAAGGAAATATGTTTTTTTTTTCTTATTGGAAACATTCCAGTTCTTGTTTTCTGTGGGGCAAGGAGAGCTCTGTAACAGTTCAACCATCTGATTCACCAATTGAAGTGGAAAGTACCGTCTTCAAAGGGTTGCTTTTCCAGGGTTTATTGAGTGCTTCACTCTGGGAAAAGACAAAAGAAGTGCTCTGATAAACAGTATCTGCTACTTTCATTTGTTTTAAGAATCATAATTGCTCTGCTGCTTCCATAGATGAGAAGGCATTAGAAAAGCTTGTTTAATAAAACCCATGGTAATAGAATTCTTCATTGTTCGAGAATAAGCAGAGGCCTGAACTTTACACACTACTGTGCTAACAAAAGGTGCAACATTGTGGCTTATACGAGCATGCCTTCCAACAATTAAAACTGAAAGAGCCCACACTTGCCCACTCTAATACAATGTCCATGATGCCACAGGAAGTACCTGCTTGTCCGAGTGGAAAAAAAGATTGAAGTTACACTCCTAGGGCATTTCAGAATGATCTGTCTGCTGACCAGAGGAGCCCCTAATATTTCTAGCTGCACACCATCCAGTCTGGTGCTTGCTGCATTTCAGAGGCATGCTGTACAGTCTAGCAAACCAGAGGGAACATTTTAAAAGTGGAGAATTTTCACTTTGCGTTTTTTGCGTGGCTGTTTTGGGATGGTTTTTTTCTTGCTGAGCAGAGATGGGAAGCTCTTGTGGAAACTCCTCCTCTCTTGTCCAGTATCACTGTCCTGCAGCTTTCAAGAATACTAAGTGAATACTGAATGTAATACACAATTAAAACCTCCACAAAGGTGGCAGGGTTCCATAGGTGAAGTGAAGTTTTTAAATGCGGGTGAGATCTTTCTTCAAGATGCAGGACGTATCCTGCAGCTCCTCATAACTGGGCACTTTGTTTCACTTCCGTAAGCTGCTGGCAGCTGTAAGCACCTTCAGTAAGCACCTTCAGGGTACCTGCTTGGAGAAACTGATGAGAGCTCGGATGAGCAAAGGCAGACTTCATGAGGCACTAAGAAATGATGGTTTTAGCCAAATTCTGTATTTCAGATATGCAGCGTGTCCTGTACAGTTTTGTTTTCTGAGGCATACAGTATCTCTGCCTTCTGCACATACAGTACCAGTTTGGACCATGTAACAGCCTCTTCAATAATGAAAGACTGGAATTGTCAAAGAATGAAAATTCACAAATGATTCCTTGAGGAAATTAAGGCAAGAGCACTCAAGGAATTCTCAATGGGCAAGTTTTTAACACATTGTGTCCCTCTGAGTGCCGAAGACTTCAGAATATGTGCACATGCAGGAGGCTGGGACAGGCTCTGGGTTTTTGACATGCAATCTGTAATTATATTATGAATCACAAATTTTACTCTTCAATAATGTGTATAAATGTGTACTCGTATGCGAACATGATCTCTGATTTCTGAATGCTGCCAATATCATACTGTACATACCTGCATCTCTTTACCAGCAAGAACTACTGGCTGATAATCATACATTTTCACACTTAGTTTTCTTGATTGATCTGGATTTTATGGGGAAACTGAAGTCTCTGCTGTTCTGCTAGGTGGCTGATTTTTAGCTTGTTAGTGTGACATGTATGACCTTGCATTTAAAAGAAAAAGCCCATAAGACTGTCACATAGATTTGTTTTTACTGTTTACCTACAAATTACAAATTACAAAACTACTGCATTGAAAGAGCTGGCATGTTCCACTTTCACCTAAAATGCCCCTAGCCAGTATTTGATGTTTTGGAGCCATTGCAGGGTATGACTGATCTGATAATAACGAATGAGACTAGGCCCCCCAGTTTAATAATTAAGATTTACATCTCAACATTTGGTTTATTTAGACATCAGCTAAGGTACATAAGCTGGGCTCAAGTCTTAATAACAATCAGGAATCGCAATAAACAGTATTTATTTTATAATATTTTATAAACAATATAAACCAGCAATTAAAAACCAGAATAAAATTAAAACAAACTTTGCTACCTCCCTCCCTTCCCCACCTACAACAACAGCTCATTACTGAGGAGGAGAAAAAACAAAAAACACATAATCTAAAAGCCCATGACTACGACAATGGTAGGAATAGAAAACATACATATTTATAATATGGAATACTAATTTAAATAAGATAATTGTTCACTCCCATGACCTGATTTATCTACAGTAGCACCAGGGATTATTTTTGTCAAAGACTCCACAGATGTTATCTCTGGCTATAAGAGCTTTGAATATTATTAATACAGCATTATTAAATTATTAACCCACATGTTATTTGTGTGGGTTAGAAACAGCCATGCTTGCCATTAGGCAATCTATAATTCATGTTACTCAGAATCTTAATCACAATGTGATCACAACATTCAAGGAAATTGTACAGGAACAGCGATTGTTAAGTGTTGATGAAATCCAACCTAATTGACTCATTGTCAAGTGTTCCTTGTCATTAACTTTGTCTCACCCTACACTTCCTGAAAAGCTGAACACTGTACTTGTAGAGATCTATCAGGGTTCGTTATTGAACAATTCCAGTGGAAGCTCATCATAGAATTGTGTTTCTGCTTTGAAAGGAAAAAGAATAGTGAAATAAATGGAGCTATACCAAGCAGCTAAGCCTGCACAGCAGCATACTGTAGGTTGCTGTCCCTGTTCAGTTTGAAATTCTTGTTGGGGTGACTTAATTGTGTTGCTGTTGATTTTTAGTTTGTTCCAGTGTCTAAATTTTTTATTATCGTTGCTCTGGGTGAGCATTGTTTAAACTTTGACAAAAATGAAATCTCTGCATATCTGAAGACTTTACACTACAGTGTAATCTTTTAACCATAAAGACTGGGGCAATTCTGATATTAAAAAAATCAGTTTTTTTAATCAGAATCAGAATTGCTTAATTGCTAAAAATTGCTAAAAATCAGAATTGCTTAATTCTCTTTCTTATATAAATTATTATAGGTGGATTTTTCCATTCCAAATACACATTGCCCTCTAACAATAATGGAACAACAAAATAAAGCTGTCATTTTTGCTTCATGGTCAAGCAATTTATCTTTTTGATAATGAGATTTGTATGAATGATATGTACAAGACAATATACTGTATGTTTTAGTTTTGGAATTATAAACCATTCAGTATTTGATGCATGTGTATTGAAGAATATTTGTGTTCAGCTGTGTATTTCAACTCATCCTAAAGAGAAAGGTGTGTGACAGGATACATTTTTCTAACATTTTTGTGCTACTGTTTAGACAGGTGATAAGTTATTCCAGCAATCGATTCTGAGTTAACACTGCTTGAATGCTGTAAGAAAGTAGTACTGCCATTGAAACTAATAATGAAGCTTTTCAAAATAAATCATTCATGTAGTATGAGCAATGTAACAGAAACTAGCAGTTTAAAAATGGTCCCTTTCTAACAAAAAAATCCATAAGTACTTTCAACCTAAATCCAAACCAAGCAGTTAGCAACTGATATGAAACAATTTGACAGCTTTCAAATTCCTTGAAAGTGCAGTAGTTTATTCTTTTGGTTTTTGTAATTAAGTATTTATCATATATTTACATAGTTGAAAAGTTATATTCATTCAAATAGTCATGAGTCATAAAACAAGACATATTAAAATAAACAACAGGTGCACCAGAAAGAAGTTGAATGACAATTTTAATAAATTGTAATAATCTTTTTTACATACTGTACATTTCACTTTGCTGTGGGAAGGTTTATAGGTTTAGATTTATAAGTATAGGTTATATGGTATAGGTTTATAAGAAACAGCGTGATGTTTATGATTTAGCATTCAAACTGGAGTTAGTAAAATACTAACACTAGCAAGCATAGACTTTAAACTCCATATCATCTGCGTAATATGTAATAATTTTTACCTGGATGGGCTCTTTGGTTCGGCACTTGGTTTGGTTCGGAAAAACTCATAAATTAGTATGTCACAGCAGAGGCTGAAGTCATCCTTGTGAAATTCAGCAAGCAACGCCAAACTTCAGAAAATGGCAGCTATAAGTGATTGTGGGAGATTTATAATGACATTTCTACTAAATGTGCTCAAAAGTACCTTTTGGTAACAGGTATGATAACTGCATGCCTGACATAAGCTATAAGCCATTATACAAACAATACTGGCAGAAAATGCCATTTCTCCCTCATATACTGTAAATGAGAGATACCCATTTGTGGTTTTTAAAGGAAAATCCCTTCTTGTTTCTCAGTGGCTGGGCAAAAGTATAAGCAATATTGCTTGTCTGTGATAAAAGTGAATGGCAGTAGTTACGTTGGAATGTGGTATATTAGACAAATGTGTTTGTAACTGCAGATCATACATCTACTAAACTCTATAGAATCCACAGATATTTTTACTCTCTCTAAAAGGGTGGGATGTTCAATGCTATGTTCTTGAGACAAATATTATCCTTGTAATGACTTTTAATCATGACAGTGCTGAAGCACAAATAGAAGCACATAATGCATAATTAAATAGAATTTGCTGTCTCTCCCTAGATTTATGAAGGTATGAAACTATTTCTAAAGCAGACAATAGGCCTTCCATCAGGGTTCAACAAACCGTTTCCTCAGGTTGTCAACCAGCCAAGCAAGGGTAATTCAGTTTATCCTGAAAACACAAAGTTCTGCTAAATGTCTCATGTATCATGATTAGTTCTGTGGTATTCAAGAAACAATTTACATTGTTAAAAAAGCACTATTTACAAAAGCTAATTTTATATAGCGAGTGTTATAAAAATACAGTAAATGGACAGTTCTGCAAAGGCAAAGGTGTATCAAGATGCATCTAAAACCTTTTTTCTGTGGACAATAGAAATGAGCAGCATATTTACTTTATATCAGTCTAAAAAAAGCAGTTTGGCTTTAAGATGGAGTACGTGACCGTTGTTTCTGGTGTACTTATTATTATTGTTTCTTGAAAAAAACTTTTTATTTTGTATCTTTATGTACATAATTGACTGGGTTGTAAGATCACAGCCCCATGGCTGTAAGAATACTGGGGGTTTTATCTGCTGCCTAAGCTCTTGAGAGAAGTAAGTGACCACACATGCAGAGTTGAGCTCTTTCCTCCCCCTATAAATAGACTGTCCATTTTCTTCACACCTCACTCTACATAACCTCACTCTATACAGTCTTACGAAACTGTTTATTTGCTTGGACTAATTAAACATTTTAAAGCACTCCATGACTTAGGTATCTTGGAAACTTCTATAGAATATTTTACTGTTTTACAGTATGTTCTGGTGACCGTACTTAATGATAATATACAGTACAGTATCTACCTTTCGAACTCAATATCTTGCAATCCAGATAAATCTGGACTAAACAGGAATACAAAAATTACTGTATATGGTTTCAGTTAAACAGTTATGAAACACCCCAAATTTATCTATAGACCTGGAGCATTCCAGAGTTCTGTCCCTGAATGCATCTCAAACAAAACACATTAGCAGGCCAAAGAGAGAAAACCTGCATCCTAAGAAGAAAATGGTGAATCCTGGGTAGGATCCCTCTCTAAAACACAGATGCCCTCAGGTGAATGGAAATAATTTTCCCTGTTCCAAAAATGCATCACTGAAGTACAGTAGGAAATCAAAATTTCTTAAAATAACATGGCAAGGTCTCTTGCAAGAATGTTTAGATTAGCTAGCAAGAATCTGGTACCCAGTTTGGCTTGAAAATGGAACTCTGTGAGTTACAGTTTTGGACAAAATGAATGATTATGATGATATACAGTATGTTGTCCCTTTGTCTCCTTTCCGGTCTCCGGTCTATATTTTTGCTGATATCCATTTCTATAGAGAGTGGCTTAATGGCCTCAGAAGGAATGACCTGCTCACTGTTGAATGTTTATTCTTTAATATGGCTGTCTTAATGATTTACTGTGAAGGGACACGCTTTGATCATCTTTGGCTTAACTCCAAGCTCAAGGATAGCTAGGCAAATACAAACAAACAATAACTGTTGTTCCAAACACTGTAAGGTAAGCCTTGCTAATCTTCGTTCTACCCCCCCCCCCCCCCCCCAGTTACATTACAACAATACTAAGGGTGTGTAAGGTACTTATACTGCATAAACCTTTATAACATGTTAGTTATATTGTTTATCATCGGTCTGATGCACCTCCGACAACCAAAAATAACTGTACTTAAGAGGATGTATTGCTGTAATAGTAATTCAGTATAGTATTTAAAATAAAAATAAAAAATTATCTGGCAGAGAAGTACATTTGAAAGACCAACTGCACAAACTGAAAGATTAGATAGATAACCTCTGGGTCCCCTAAGTGAAAAATCAGTAGGTGTAATAAATAGGAAACTCCTTTCTGCGCATTAAACACTGAGTCTTTTCCATTTTGTGTTTAACAATAGCAAATGGAAGAGAAATGAATAAATCAAGATCTATGTTCTATTTTGATCTATGATCTATTTTCTTTATTTTTCATCAAACACCTTGAGACAAAAAATGTCAGGAGATTCCTCCTGAACAGCACATGAATCATTTAAATGCCTGGGTCCACCAGGAATTTCAGACACTGGAATGTGTCTGGATATTTGTGGATGTGGGGGCAGGGCAGTACGGATGCATAAACCTTCCAAGTTATATTAATTGTGCATTTTGGTTCTGAAAGATTCGAATGCTGTGCACATGTGTATGTAACCAATGAATGATGCTGTATTTTACTGTTTCCCAGTGGTGACCAGTCCATCATCTCTATACAACCACAAACCTAGCAGACTGGAGCCCTTAAAGCCCTATCACTGTGTCAGCAATTCCCCCTTTCCCTACTTCCCTGCTTTGCGGGTAGTCTGTTACCAGGCTTTAAATTTGGTTTGTCCTTAAGACTGTTAACCTTGACAGGCATGTGAGAGACATTTAAAGTGGGAAAAGGCACATTGATTGAAAATGAGAAAGAATTGAAAGAGTAGCTTGCAAAGGAAACTTAAAGGAGATAACAGAACTTCCATCCTGTTTTCAACTTGGGGTGCGACACTATCAGGGATTTCCTTTCTGCTAGCCTGTTGTGGCTGCTGGGCATTACAGGATCACCAGTCTTTCTCTTGGACATGATCTCTTTCCTGCTGGTGAGAGCAAAGGCCCCATTTGAATTAACAGACTTGCACTGAGCAACACTTCAGTGAGTCACAAGTTCCTTAAGATGTGAAAAAATAACACTGTGGTCACTGAGGTTATTATCGAATGGCAAAGCATTTGAAAGCATAGTCCTGAGTGCATACTGCTGCAACCTGTACAATGACCATGAAAAAGGTGGGTAGGTGTTTCCACCACGGATCTATCAGTTCTTTCAGCTTAAAAAGATTACTTAGTAATGCACGGAAAATAACAACAGGATGTATTACTGAGGTTGCTTTCAACTAAGTACAGGTTTGGGGAAAACATCACAGTAGTATGGTCAGATATTGAAACGTAACATTATTAGATAATACTTCAGACTGAAAAGTACAGTATACTGTATACATCTTTCATCTTCCTCTACATTATAGAAGAACGAAAAGGTGTATTTTGTGTGTTATTTTTAAATGAACAGTCCATAAAAATGTTAACAATTAATTAGGCAGTGTCTCATGCTGTTTATTTGTTTTCACAAAGTTTTCACAAGTTACATTTGCAGAGCTTGAAAAAATTCAAGTTGTGTTTGAAAGAAACTTCAATATGTACAGTAAGCTGAGCCTTGACATTTTTGGGGTAAAGTTAAAAGTTTCAATTGTTATGTGCATGTAGATTTTCCAGGAAGCAAATCATATGTGGTCACTTACTATTTCCAATTATTTAAGATTTAACTGATGATAAACATGCTCTTGCTTTTTATTTTGTCTAAATGTTTAAGAAATATATTGTGAAAATTCACAGAATTCATTACATACCTGTTCATTTACCGTTTTTTATCAAGCTTCATCTTACCTACGGCATTACAGGATCCTTCTGTTTCAGAAGGCAGTTAAAATTCCCTTTGAAAGGTAAGCAGTCAATGGATTCTGAAGCAATGCTGTCAAAATTAACAGTTGTCATTCATGTAAAAAATAGACAGGTATGTAATAATTTGAATGAATATGACCTGATGCACTGTGAATGCAATGTGATGTAGGGTCATTTCTAAAATAAAATTCAATAACTCGTATAAAGTTACTAAAATGAAGACATCTATATATACCTGTATATATGAATTGTATGAATATATTGTCTTGCCATTTAATATATAGTATCAAACCAGTGCATTTTACTGTAAAGCAATAAAAAAAGAAAATTGGAAAAATTACAATTCCTATACAGTACATTGTTACATAATTCCTTGAAAATGTAAAATCACAAATTAAATTACTCAATTTATAAAATGCTTCCTCTTTTTTTGGGCTGTGTGCTGTGTGTGAACTTTCCAAAAGGAAACATATATAGACTCCGGCAGTTCTCTCAAACTGGCCTATACAGCAGAAATGTTATAGAACGTTTATGAAAGGCATGTTAATGTTTCCATTATAAAATCAATATTTCAGATGGAAAGAGTGGAACAGGTTGGTGCTAAGCACCTCCACACTGACCTGAAATGTTTAACGTTATTATTTGTTTAAATAAAGCCTTAAGTTGATTTCATACTCATGGCAGAATTCAGTATACTACTGTATATAGAAAGAAAAATATGGTGTGGAATGAATTAAATGATTCAAAAGAATTATCCAGATCAGGACTTCCCCACATCATATATTTCTAAAACTGGAATTGATTGTATGAAAACGTTTACATATAATTCACTGTGCCTACATTTTGCTACCATGCTGGTAACCAAGGATTTCTCAAAACAGGTAATTTTAAAGTTATTGCTTATTCTCTTTTATGTCATTTGTCTCAGAATATTGTCCTTCCAAAGTTGAGGCTTACCTTCTGTAAAACACCAGTGGAGTAAAAGGTTTTTATTAATTAGTCATAAGCTAATTGTGAGGTAGTAATAGGCTTTTACTTGAACCTACCTCTCACTCACACTAATATGGATTTACAATAGAGCATTAGGTACCCTGCCCTTTGTTTTTCTTGGACTCCAGTTATGTTCTGTACTGGAATAGAATAGAGAAATAGAGAACAATACGCAATACACAATACACCAGAACAATCAGAATAATGTCACAGAACAACACAGAAGAACACACATGGGGGGGATGTTGAGATAGTATACTGCTGGTACTGTATATAAATAAGAATAAAATAGTGTTATAAGTAGATAAATGGAAAAATAAATGAATAAATGAGTACTTACAGTATTAATATGCAAATAAGCATTTTGAAATACAGGGGTGATGTGGGGGGGAACAGGTGACAAGTGCAGAAAAGGGTGCAGGTCATAGACGTAACACAACATGACAGTGCTAACATTACAGGGCATACAGTTATTGAGATGGTAGTGATAGTAAGGCAGTGGGTGGGTGGTCTTTTTCTGAGCCTGGTGGTGCTGGCTCGCAGGCTGCAATACCATCTTCCAGAAGGCAAGGGTGTAAAAAGACTATGAAAAGGGTGAGAAGGGTCTTTGATAATGGTGCATGCTCTCCTGACACACCACTTGTTGTAAGTGCTGAAGTAAGACACAAGATGTAAAAAGGGTTAACTTAAGTCAATTCTGCCTGAAGATTAGACTTCTAAGGCTGGAGTTTATGGCAGGAAGGGGGTTAACTGATAAGGATTCCAGATGCCAGCTAGGAGAGCTAGGGAACCCCTGGAGACTAATCTCTGACCATTTGGCCAAAAAGCTGTAAACTGGTCAAACACGTGACCTCCCCCCTTTACCATAATAATGAATGACGAATCAGAGCAACAAGGAAGGACTATATAAGCCTAAAGTTTGTACCGGCAACAATACTTTGGTTTTGTTGTTTCTTGCAGGAAACACGACTTCGGCTTTATTGTTCCTTGCATGCAATAAACTCATCTGTTTAACTTCATCTCGGGATCCAGAATCTTATTCTTTATGTTACAACAGTGCACTGGATGGTGGGCTGTGAACTCCTGGTGATGGACTGGGCTGTCTTCACCACACGCTACAGAGCTCCCCGGTCAGAGACAGTGCAATTCCCATACCAGATGGTGATGCAGCATGTCAGGATGCTCTCGATGGCGTACCTATAGAAGGTGGTGAGGTTGGGGGGTGGAAGATGCTGTTGTGCCTTTTTACTAAGTATGATGTATTATGGGTCCAAGAGAGGTCTCCGGTGATGTGCACTCCCAGAAACTTGAAGCTGTGCACTAACTTCACTGCTGATCCATTGATACACAGGGGAGTGTGGACAGCATAAGTCCTTCTGAGGTTAACAATCATCTCCTTGGTCTTGATTGTTGTTCTTACACCAGGCTGCAAGCTGTTCCACTATCCCTGTAGGCTGATTCATCGCTGTTAGTGATGTGGCGCACAACTGTGGTGTCATCAGTGTACTTGATGATATGATTACTGCTGTATTTGGCAACACAGTCGTGGGTCAGCAGGGTATACAGCAATGGGCTGAGCACACAGCCTTGTGGTGCACCAGTATTATACCACTATGGTGTGGGAAGTGTTACCATGGATCCTGATAGCCTGGGACCTATTGGTCAGGAAGTCCAGGATCCAGTTGCATAGTGGAGTGTTCAGACCCAGTGAGGACAACTTGTGGACCAGTTGTTGGGGGATGATGGTATTAAATGCTGAACCAAAGCCTATGAGCAGCAATCTGACATAACAGTCTTTGCCCTCCAGATGGGTCAGGGCCAGATGTACTGCAGCGTCTTTGGTGGATCTTTTGATAGGCATACTGGTCTAGTGTGGGCAAGATAGAGGTCTTGATGTGTGACATGACTAGTCTCTCGAAACACTTCATAATGACCGAGGTGAGTGCGACGGGGAAATAGTCATTGAGGCTGGTTACTGGTGATTACTTGGGAACCAGGAAGATGATGGCGGATTTGAAACATTTTGGGACAACAGCCTGAGCCAGGGAGGTGTTAAAGGTATCAGTGAAGACCTCCGCTAACTCGCTAGCACACTCCCTTAGCATGCGACTGGGGATGCCATCTGTACCTGCGGCAAATGTTTTAAGCAAAAAGCTTAGTAATACTGAAAAGTGTATTGACCCAGAACATGGTCATTAGAGTCTGTTTCTTACAAATTAACCGAAATGAAATCTTGACTTGTCTGGGCATGGCAGTTGTTCTCTACCTGGATGAGAGCTGTAAATAATAGCTGATTTGGGTGGTGTTGGTCTTTTCCATTTGATAACAGTGATATGACTGGCTCTGATATGCAACATGTGTCACGGACGTCCAAAGGGACTAACCGTGGAGAGCAGGAGAGCGGAAAAAAGACCCATATGCGTAGAGGCGGAACGGGAAAAAGGCCCGGGCTCATTAGTGCAAAGAGTTCAGGAGTGCCGTATAGAAACCTATGCCCTCACATGGGGCGACCTGGTGCTAGGGGGGTCTCAGGACATCCGAACGTCAATGCTGAGCGAGGGCAGAGTGCAAGACCTGGCAAGACCTGGAAATATATAGCCCCAGAGAGAGAGAAACACCGGAAGGACAGCAAATAACCGGAAATGAGAGACAGGATAGAGATGGAGCGCCCTCTTGCTGCAGAGGGCATGACAACATGTTCCTTGAAGTTTCAGCCCATTTCTGCATCACTTTGGAATAATTTTATTACATCAGCTCTCCAGTTTATTGACATTTTGATCGGCTTTTTGTCTCTTTTACTACCACTCTCTTACTAGCTGATTTCTGGAATGCTTTTTGCTGCAGTTACCTAAACAGTTATCATAAACGCTGCCAAAATCACTTTTTCACTGGAAAAGTTCCAATCTAAGAATCTAAATAAAGCCTGCTAAGGATCCTACTTTTACACACTCTCAATCAATTTCTCAATTGTGTTGATTAATCAAAAGAATCAAATCAGGAGAATCAAGTGGCATCAGCCTGAAAGTTATTTTTGTTTCTTTTTGCAGGTCTTTACAATTGTGTATAATAGTACGAGCTTTTTAAAAAAGGACAGAAAGGAGTTAAAGAGAATACATAACATTTGTGATATTTAGGAATTTAAAAATGTATATTTAAAACTAAAAATGTCTTAACTTGGTGATGCAAAAAGCCGTGTCTGCTGGACAGGCAAGTGGTTGATCCAAGTGAAGACACGAGGAGATACTAGAGTTGGGGAAGTTTTTGTGTGATCTAATGGGCAGAATCTGAGAGAGTAACTATCTCTAGGCAGGTTAATTCTGCTGAGAGCACTTTCTTGGCATGGAAGGAAACTCAATGACAGAGCACTGGACCTTTGGCAGATCAGGGTTTAAATATCCTCATGCCGATGGGATGATTACCCATTTAAGTGGGGGCAGGCGGCTGGGACACTGGGAAGAGTTCTGCTCCACATGCTGTACACAGCAGGCTTCTGTGGAGACTGCGGTTTGTAAGCTCTGGCTGGTGCTATGGTGTATTATCATTGCAGCACAATTTTAAGAAACAGACCACCCATCTCTAATCTATTGTCCTAGAAGAACTATTTTTTGCCAGCTGTTTTGGGTAAGTGTAAACTGTACCATTTCATACCTACTAGTGTAGACAGAAAATTAAATCATAGAAATGCTCAGGTTATACTCCTTTGATGCTACTGTTTCCACTCTTAAACATCTGAAGAATTTTAGGTTGATTAAAAAACATGAATAAGGCTACTATTCTGCAGCCATATCTGAAGGTAAATGGATATACTGTAGTCTATTACCACACAGCTCAAATGATGGCTAAATCTGAACCCTGTCATAACATATTGAGTTGTCCCTGACCAAGCCAAGGCTTACAAATTGCCATAGCTAACATTAACATTTCTTTTGGTGCTGTAAGGACAATCCAGAGGGATCAGTCATGTACAGAGCAGTCAATAAGAGTTAAAAATAGCTCAACTGTCGAGGTAATGAGTGATCATGAAATAAAACTCTTTAGATGTAACATATCAAGACTAAGAGCAATTTGTATTTCTTTCCTGCATAATATTTTTTATTCTTCAACAATGGATGAGTACAGTACTAATGGCACATCAATACTATTATATAAAACATTTTTGGATCTTTTGATCCAGAATTGGCAAAGCAAGGTGCAGATGAGGCTAGTTTCTGTTCTTGCAGTTCGACAATTAAACACCAGGCATAGCAGATGGTATACTATGCACCCGTGTAAGTATGATGACAAATATGAATTGAATTGAGTTAACTGCTGATGTATAGTGGTGACGTGACTGTAATTATTTTTGTTATCAAGAAAAAAGTGTGTTATAGATGATTGAAATGATTGTCT